ATATAAAACATCCAACGCATAGTACTTGACATTTCCAAATTATGTTGATGATGTGCCTCTCTCTAAAACTAGGTCGGAATAGTTAATTATCGTGACGAGCTATAGCTAATGAAAAGAATAATCACACACAATCATTGTCGGTTCAACAAGTTCCGACAAAATCACAACATTTCAATTGAATATAAAATTAAGGAACTGAAACAATGACGTCAGGAATACCACAAAACGGATACACTCATCATCACATACATATATCTATAGTATTAATCTTATTCATAAATCTCTGATAGATAAATAGGCATTTTTCATGAAAATTTCCCTAATATAAATATTTTCCTTAATGACGTCATAATGTATGTTCTTATAAACAGCACTGAAGTTTTACTTAAATAGAAAAAATAAATACAATTATATGAAAATTCGCTATATCATGTTTTGTTTTCACACTCTTTTTTCACAGATTATCACGTAGAAAATATGAGATAACCCTCTAATGAATGTGTTACTTTTATTAATTCATTTATATTACAAACATTAACTCGATTTCCCTATGTTTTTGTAATTAATATATTTTTGTCCTTTCTACGATGGCGTTTTCTTGCAAACCGAGTGTTTATAATGCCACGTGTTTGCTAAACTTGTCTACCAAATACACTACCACTAATGAGGACAAATGAACAAAATTTGTTTGACATTTATCGTTTATCCAAATCTCGTTTCAGTTAGTGTCGTCAATTGCGTATATATATATAACCATTTATATAGAAACAAATCAATTCTAACGTTACACTAGATAAAGGCATTGTTTCTATCTAGGTTCTTCAAATGTCGAAATCACAATGAAATAAATAAATGTTTGTTCATTATAATACTCACATAGGTTGCTGAATTTTGAAAAAAAAATATGAAAACGATTCAACAACTGAACGTGTAGACCTTTTTTGTAGACCAACCAATAATTCATTTTATTTTTGCATTTCTATGTAGTGACCTTCACTTTATACCGTTTATATCGTTCAGTGTTGCAGAAAATACTATCGTAGAAGAGACACAACAAGCTACCAGGTTTTCAATTTAACAGTACAGTATTGATAAAAGACAAATTTGTAACTGGGAAAGTTTTTGTTGAAATGGGAAAGCGCAAATTACGGTGATCAGGATACAAATGGGAATATGTAATAAGATTGAACAGCGGTTCGGGGGAAATCTCTCATGTGAATCAATTGTATTTTTATTGGTTATTTGATTGACCGAAACAGACATGCATTTCGTATTTAGTTAGCTAAATTGTTGTCAGACCAATTGAATCACATTTATGGTATTCATTGACTGTGACGAGAGATGGAATTGTAAGTACAATTATTATTCATGTATCACACGAAGCAATTAGTACGAAATCTGATGGTTGGTAAAATCACGCCTGATCTGAAAAAGACATCGTAACAAAAAACATACATTGTAAAATATTTCAATTATCAAGCTGAATACTACTATGAAAGTTGAATACAATTCATGATATGTACATTTTTTAAATATATATATAATACATTCAATATTAGGTTCTCAAGTCTTTCATATATGTATATGACGAGTATTTATATCGCTACAGTAACGGGAATTTGACGGCATGAGCATTTGCGCTGTGTTGATCCCAAGGGAAATGTGTAGCAGTGACGAAAGTCTGCACAAATGCAGATTATTGCGTTATTTCAATATTAAATTGACACAGAAGCGTATGAACTGCAGTAACAGTTGAACAATTAGTGCAATGAATACTATCATTCAAAAGCGGCATTACTTAACACGTTGATCAGCTCTCGTTTCTCTCGTTTCTTTTGTAGCGTCACTGGACGTGTTCGCGATTCCGGGGATACCTTATTGCGTTTACAACAATTCGCGAGGCACGGGAGCATCCTGTACAGCTCATTTCTGAAATTCTCGTTGAAATAAGCATACAGAATTGGGTTTGTCCAACTGTTACTGATATACGCAAGTGTCGCAAAATGATGTTGAACTTGAATCCCCCTAAGAATTGACCATGGGATGTCAGCATATTCGGTATACTCGTAATATAATGAATACATGTAGTATGGTAGCCATGTTAACGCAAAAGAAATAACCACTACCGTGAGCATTTTGATAGCTTTCTGTTTGCCTCGGTTAGAAGCATTGGAAGGGCCTTTCTTTGACCACAAAGATTTGATCATGATTACGTACATGATACAAAGTAGGACAAGTGGGAGGAGAAACATAACAAAGAAATCCACGAGGTGGAATTTGTTAGCTATATCGTGGTATTCAAATGGAACCATGCACCATTTTTGAGTGACATTGTTAAATGTGTATTCATACATATGTAAGAGGATCGGTTTTCGCAGTGAATAACCTAAGGATATTACCCAAATACAAGTAATAATTACTGTTGCCTGGGTACGTGTAACCTTTGGTTTTAACGGTTGAACGATGGCCCTGAATCTGTCAATCGCCACCCCAATTAAAGAGTTGATTGTCACGCATCGAGCAGTCCACTGCATCCACGCGAATGTCCGACAGACGAATATATTATCGTTCAAAGCAACAAAAACGTCGGGTATCAGCTGAAAAAACATTAGGTACGGAATTTGGAATACAGCAACCAGTATATCGGATAGAGAAAGCGAAACAATGAACATGTTCGTGGCTGACTTTCGTAGCTTTGGCTGTCGTATTATAGCGACAATCACCCAGACATTTCCAACGACGATCAGGATAAAAAATGTACAGTACAATGCGATTTCATAGTTGTCCGGTACTTGGAGATATACTGGCATTGGGTAACCAACGTAGTATTCATACTCATTAGTGATATTACTTCCGTTGAAGTCCATCCTGGAAGGTAATATTAAACAACTCAATATATTCATTTGCCCAGACATTTTTGCGTAACTGTTTAAATACCCTACCGATGGTGTAATTGTCTATATGCACATGACTTACTGTCTGCTTTGTTGTTTTAAAAATAATAATTGGGGGGTACATAAATATATTATTATTTTTATAATGATAAGGTCTATTAATATTAGTGTTTTATTGCTCGTACTATTTACCTGTATCTCTAAAAAGTTTGTTAACGATTTGTCAGTAAAATGGCATTGCTAATTTTTAACATATAGACACATAACATATGTAGAAAAATATGAATACAATATGTAAAATATAATGAAAGACGATTTCTGCGTTGAAGAAATCATTGCATCTTAACAGATATAGCTACAGATAATGAGCGTACCGACCTGTTACAGAAACACCCACATGATATGCTAAACTATTCTCAGGCTATAATATGTAAGTATATGATTTTGTTTTATCTTAGATTATAATAAATAAATAAATAAATAAATAAATAAATAAATAAATAAATAAATAAATAAATAAATAAATAAATAAATAAATAAATAAATAAATAAATAAATAAATAAATACCAACCTTATTAATCACTTGTTTACACTGTACGTATTATATGTACATCAACTTGAAGATAAATTTGGACACTAGAAAAAAAGATGAACAATTGATCACATCACATCACATCACAAACCCTTGGTTTAAATTAAAAAACACGGCGTTTGCTCAACGGCATGTAAAACCTGGAAAACAACACAGTCAACTGAATGTGCGCGATGTAAGTGGAAAACATGCACTCTGAGACATGGCAACGACGAGTTGTTGATTTTTAATATAGTCAAGAGTAAGACGTCACACAGCGTTTTGCCCACTCATATTCCTCGTTTTACTCTCAGAATATAATGCGATGCGATTACATTAACACAACTGCTGTCGAAGGGGAATACTCAGATTCTGAAAGCTATAGTCGAATTGAAAGACCTTGTAAAGCGAAGCAATACACAGGATAATGAGTAATGGCGAACCCGAGCTACACCTAAAACTTTAATCTCTGACATACCTGGGATAATTAAATTGCATCATGTAGCCCCATAGCGCGTGAGTGCTTGTGTAACAAGAAACGCGTTTCTGATATTATCCAAAGTATTATTAAAGTAATAAGGCAGGTATTTGTATACGGTCTGAGCTTACGTGCACAGATAAAACTATAGTTCCGCTTCTAGCGCTTCTGTTGCATAGTAACTCGGGGTAGTAGGGTTACTATTGCGTTGCCATGGACAAAAATCTGGCGAGGATTGATAATTTAATTTGAATTGCATACTGCAGAAGATACATAATATACATTAAAACAGAAACATATATTTAACGAGATTCAACTAAATTACAAATTCGTTATGATATTTTCTCTAAAATAATACTCTTACGGTTTTCCCATTAGATCACGAACATCACCGCTATTATAAAGAGATAAACACGCATAACTAAGGTGCCAGAGAGATTCCAACAGATAATTTATACAGAAGTTCTAAAAGGCGATTCTGGGTGAAACAAATATTATATGACTGCTTGCCTGTACACGCTCGCTAAATCACAAAATAACCTAATCTTGTTATTATTAACTATATAAAGTCATGTCCAGTGATTTACCTTATATTTGGATATTTGCTAGAGTTATATTTTATTTTTGCAGAATATATTTTGTCATGTTTCCATCTTGTAGATCTCGTGAAGCCAGCATAGTAATCTTTACTATATTTTTTTCAATAGATTCTACTCTAGGTCGACAAAAGGATATTGACTTAAAACCAGTTTAGAATCACATGCCTGTTATTTGATGAAATGATATGATTGTCAATATGTTAGTATTAACTATATTATCCTTTGATGTAATTAAGTGTAATCGTTTGGCATGGGTTGTTAACAATTTATATCTCAACTGTAGAATAATTTTCGTTGACCTGAATTATTAAACACTACATCAATGTTATTTTGCTTTAATACTGAGTTACATGTGACTATTCTTAAAATAATCAATTTATTCAAAATACGGTGTTGCATCAGACAGACGAATGCTATGTTATCACAGGAATAGCCTCGTAATTGTTCACACACATATTGAACATTGTCATCCAATTTATGAGTTACTCAAAAAATGTCAAGTAATCTTCTATCTTAACAAATGTACTATACAAATCACCAGCACGATAACTTCACCACCAGTAGCATGCTCTATAGTGAAAATTTGCACTGGTAGATCGTTCATTGTGTTTTCCCCACTTAACGACATATTTTACTACCTGGATATGAGTACAATGATTAACGTGCTTGCCTTGCATGGAGAAGGTTGTTTCAGTCGACTACCCACTAAGCAGTATATTATAAAGTACTTACTGCTCAGTCAGCCAAATACGCTGTTCTCGAGAATAGGTTCATTCGATGGGGATGATGCAAATCGATGGCACCGTGCGCGGTACCGTGAATTTGTACACAATGAAAAACACTGTATCCTGTATCCAATTGCCTCATTATTCCCAAATTTGTTTGTGGCCGACTTATGAGCTGCCGACATGTATAACAACAATATTTGATTGTGATTCGCCATAATACTTCGTAACATCATTGCACTCACTAAAACTAACTATATACACATTTTTGTGAAATCATAAGTTTGGGCTTGTGTTCCACATCATATGTGTTGTACGATGTTTGAATACAATTGCAAAAACAGGCTTTACTTCAGGAGAAATGTACAATGTACTAAATGTACTTTCATGTACTAAAATTAAAAACGAGCTGTGTTAATTAATAATTCTTTTTTAGGGTTGCGTTTAGGTATGGTACTCAGATCACAACAATGCTTTTTGCTGCTTTATATACAGACAGTCATGTATTAACGATATAAACATGTCTGAGCCTTAAAGTGTGCATTCATTAATAGTAGACCACAGTAATGATGCGTATTGACTATGTAATCTCGCATTGTTAATGACACATGTCAGCTCAATACAAATGTGCTACTTCCAGAAATGAATCCGCCAGCAATTCAATATTTTTCTCAACCACGATATTCAGCGTGGCAAGTATGTTGAATTTTTAGACTCAATGATAATGTGAGCAGGGAGATCATGTCAAGAAACTTATTTGCAAGTAAAACTTAGATATGTCTGCTTGATGGAAGGTACGTCTCTGTTGAAACTTCTATTAAACATGGGCGTGGTTTGATTTTTTATTCAGTAATGTTATTCATATCGGCGCGTATTTGTATACGCCATTTAGTTTTGAAAAAACAATCTTATTAGATGTACACTGTCACCATGCGCTGTCATTTGTATGTATAGTATGCTGACACAATACTTAATACTTATCTTTATATCATAAATCTATCATCCCCGTATGAATGTACACGCGAATAGTCGATGAATGCGCCACCTAAATCTTAACGTGAGACTTCAACCAATTACCTGCGTGAACCGGGAGTTGCGGTGAATGCTTTATGAATTCGTGCACACTTCAAAATTGCGAGGAGTACAAAAATAACAACAAGTATCATAAACGATGACGTTATCTTCCTATTGACGTATTTTTTTCATTCAAGTAATAATGTCGATAACAAATCGCCGAACTAGCTGCAAAGTGATAATGCAAATAACGCCCCGGGTTCGGATTTAGTGAATACGACACCACGTCATAAGAAAACATATTTTTAAAAATCGCCATTCAATCACGCACAACTCAAGCAGCAATTGTAATTTCTGGGACACAGTGTTTGCGTTTAACAATAATGAACGTGACGAGATAGAACAGAAAATGTCACACACTCGAGAAATGAATGTAGTCGCAAAAATCCGGTGATCGGTGATATCATGCTGCGAATAGATGACACTGAACCGTCAATTTACGAATCCACACTCGAAAGGACACGCACGAAAAAAACACAAATTTGCCAGTCCATGGTTATACGACACAACGCACACGTTATGGCTAAAATACTATTGAATGTACGCATATCACGTCGTTGGAATAGTACGAACTAATAACCTACACCCAAGAGAAACTTGCATGAGTACACAACCAAATTGATTTTGTGAGAAACAAAAAACAAGTACACAAGATTCACTCTGCAACACACATGCGGGACTACAATGACAATTTAGCACTGTGATGAGTTTTTTTAGGGCATGTTTAGAATCTATTTATCCGCCAGCCAACAGTGTGACAGGAATATTTAAAATTGAAGCAGCATTCGTTTTGTGTTTAAGGGAATTTATCTAGTATAGTAAAAGCACACAACCTTGATATGATATGAGAAATCGGACTGTAATGAATTTGCCGTAATTCTACAAAACATAACATTTTACACCAGTCTTACCCAGAATAACGTACAATAACTTACTGTATTCTGTTGAAACAAGAAAAGTTATTACTTTATACAGACTAAAACCAAACCATTAACGCTTCACTCACACTAAACCCTTTTCCTCGAAAAAGTCGAAAGTTATAACATTATGCATGCAACGTTCGGAACTAACAAACGCAGTAATTTTGTTTACCGATCGTCAATTTTGTCCAAGACAGATAATGCACATTCAGAAATACATGACACAACTCAAGTTAGATTGGTTGTTCCTAGCTTTTATTTTATAATGGTATGCTTTGTTCTTATGTCCGTTATTGTTTTGTTGTTCAATAATGATAGATCATAGCATGGCAGCATTGTGTATACAGTTTACAATGCACAAAATGAAAGGATATGACCGATTAGGTTGTTGGAGGTGGATTCCAGTTTACATTCATATATTCTCGAATTTAAATACTGCATTCTACTGTATTCCAATAATGTATG